GTTAGAAATATGGTCTTCCAATCAGTAGGGTAAGGTTCGATACCCAACTCGAACAGCCTGAAGAAAATAAAGACGGAAGATAGAAACAGCTTCCAAGTTAATAGGTCTTACTACATAAAATAAAAAATCGTCATAATAGACAGAGGACTCGGCGGTCTGACGTGGGCTAGCTCGAACTAGTCCTGGGTTTGCTGGTTCGATTCCATCCACGGCCAAATCCGACATCAGGCAGCTTTGATGTCAAATTTCCACTTGAGGTTTGAGATGTCAAATATAAGCTTAAGTTAAAATCGCCTCTCAACGGTATAGCTGCATATAATAAAATTGCCAACAAATATTTCGAGTTAATTAGTCACAACTGGATTGGACAACTACTTGGTTGCTATACGGTAAAAAAGCCATATAATCGTCAAAACAATTAATGAATGTCCTAGTATATAGATTGTAATAACAAAAAAATAGACATAGGTCAACCATAGGGTTTCCTGGCATTGCTGCATGAAATAAAATTATCATAACTAGACATAGATCAACCATAGAGTTGTTTTCAGAAGCCACTTGGTTAAGAAGCTTACAGGACTTTTAATTTCTGACTGCTATTAAAGAAGAAAATAATTTGTTTATCATATACTATCTTTTATCATATCATCTAGCTTTATTATATTATATATCATCTTTATATATCCTACACTATCCTATTTTCTTTATAACTGACTTCGTCATTCTTCTTTTCTTCTAACCGTGCTTCTTTTTCTAACATCTAATTCTATTCTATCTCAAATCAACAATTTAAATTCTATTTAATTTCAATCCAGCGAATCAAATGACAATTTATGATATTAGATATGTATCTAATGGCTACATGCATTGTTGCAGCAATGCCCCCGAGCGGTTATTTTTGCTTGCAATCATTTGAGCTCTATGATTTCAAATGAAATTCTGGTATCATACTTTTGATACCGATCTGAGTTTGAACCAGGAAAGAGAGATTGCTAACCACTTTTTTTACCCCTTTCCCACGACGGGCTATAAGTGATAATATTTTCTACAGAAATTTTTATCTATCTAAATAACATCCTATTCTATCTCAAATCAACAATTCAAATTCCACTTATTTCAAATACAACAAATCAAATGATATTAGATAGAGTGTATCTAATGGTTACAAGCTTTGTTGCAGCAATGCCCCCGAGCGGCTATTTTTGCTTGAAATCAAACATTTAGTAAATTTGGGGAATTTACAATTGTCGGCCTCAAAGGGTCATTGTATACTACAGTGATATGATGGAAAAACAACTCAATAGTTATTTTTTAAAAATTTTAAGTATGAACCCCAATAATTAAAACGTATATGCTATCCAATTAAATTTACGACATATAACAAGCGTATTCTATGCAGAAGTCTATTCTCTATTCGCAATTGTATCAAAAGTTCACTTACATCAAGATCAAGGTCTTTTGAATCAAGGAAGCGCTATTTGTTATCAAGTGTTAAAAGCAAAACAAACACGAATATAAATAATTAATTCACAACAAGGCATTTAATTTCATTTACGCTTGAGATTGTTAAATTTATGTCGTATTTATACAATGCGATATTTACAAATTATGCAAATAAATTATTTTTATTTTTATTTCTATTTATTTTATCTTCAGTCTTGGGAATACTTTGCATTTTAATTCTGATGTCTTGCGAGAAAACTGTGATATTTATTTAACATCGTTGTGAAAATGTTTATCATTTTAATACTGAACAAACGCAGTAAGTTCTATTGCTAGTAAAATAAAATTATTATTTTAAGTCATTTTTTTTATATATTAGTTATTTTTCACTAAGAATATTGGAAGTTTTAATTTAAAAAGAATATAGAATGCGTTTATAGAAAACAATTACAAAGGCAAGTAGAAATTTCATATAGGGTAGAGCGGAGCTTAAAGAAAAAAGGTTTATTTGCCATTAACTCAAACACGAGTGAAGTTAGAATTTTTTTATTAATATTTGAAAGTAGAGGGCAAAAAATGTGTAGACAGTCATCGCCTTAAATCGAGTGACTTTGCTTCCACAAGATAAACCAACACATTGTCAATTCTGTAATGATAGATTTTTTTGAAGTTGTTAGTCATTTTGTTTTTGAGCACGGTTGTTTAGTTTACAATATCTCAATATAATTTTTAAGTATACGATATTTCATTTTTATAAGATGTATTGCTATTAGTTCAACAGTTCTGTTATATAACCTCTAGAAAAGCTTGCATGTGGTCGGGATAATAGCGTTTTCTTAAAGCCCAAATAAATTAAAATTAAAAAAAAAATAGGACCATCTAAACTTTTATACTGGCAAGATGTGAACAATAAGAAACTTGCAAATAAAAATGTAAAATAAGAAATTTTACAAAAGACAAATTAATGGACCGATTCTGCCGCATAACAGAAAATGTTATGGCAAGGCCATGTTACGCTCCAACTTCCATATATTATACTACTGAATCATACTGAATACAGTCAAAATGTTGTGTATTCGCTGTGCATTCAGGCGTTTTACCATAAACTGCAACGTTACTCGTATGTTATGAAGCTGGGTCAGAAAACCCTGTTATCTAAAATCGTTTTTTTGATATTTGTGCGGTTTCTAGGTTAGGTTTTCTATCTGACAACCTGAGAAAAACGCCTGAATGCACAGCAACCGCATGGCTTTTGTCAATATTAAATATGAAAAGTTGTACATAACATAGCCTTGCCATAACATTGGTCTGTTATGCGGCAGAATCGGTCCATAAATTAATAGTGTTCCAATTCTGATGAAAAATTCTTCTTACAATGTTCCATACGACTGCGATTTTTATAAAAATAAAATTGGCAATAAAATACGTATTACAATATACAATAATTCTGATTCTGATAAAATAACAGAAATACCTACAAAAGCCAGATTTATGGTAGCAGTAAGAGTATATTATATTTTTTGTTTATCATTTTTATAAAGCATACATAATTAGATTATGATTTTTAATTTTGTTGTTCAAGTTAATTATGAATAATGCATATGTTATTCCACAAAACATTTTTTAAATTAAAAGTGAAATGATGAATCTTTTTGTCCTATGGCTGTCCCATTTTTCCCATTAAACAAAAAATCTTTATGTTTTAATTTTGATCCTGATAAATTAAGCAGAAACACCTACAAATGAAAAATGTTATGATAGCAAAAATGATCA